ATGGAGGCCAAGTAGCCAGTTCGGGTCAGGCGATGATTAAGTCACAGCTGATGGTTCTACCATGGCCACTAACGCATGGCTGGGCTGGAGTTCACACCCAGCCTGCCTCTCCTGTGCTTTTCCCCATGGTACAACCCTGCTTCACACAGGCAGGGTGTCCTGATAACATGACAAGTACATAACTGAGCAACTGAGTCAAGTCTCCCGGAATCCAGGGAGGAGGATCCTGGTGGTCAGGGAAGACATCATGGTAAAGTAGATGTCGAATAGGCATTTTGAGGAAGATGGAGTTGCTGGGTCTGGGAATGTAAAGAAATCACTGAAATAAAATTCAATGGAAATAAAATCACTGTCCCTAAAAAGACCTAGATTTTACAGGACCACCTCCAGTCCCCTCACCCTCCACAAGACACCTGTCTTGGATCCCTGACTGGAACCTAGAAGTTTTGTTTCCAAAATACAAGTAACATATGACCACTCTCCTCCGGCTAAATCAGAGCACAGAAGTGTGTCAAGCAGAAGGTTATGATTCCCCTGTAATTCCCAATCTTCTCCCACGGGCTACTCCTTACCCTTTTGCTAAACGCTCCTCATTTTTCCTTTAACCTTTAAATACTGGATTGCTTAGGGTCAGTCCCTGATGATTCTCTTTGCCATCAACACTGCGGCCTTGCTGTTTGGCAAGGTTTTGGAACACCATCTGTACGTAGATGACTTCCCTAGCCTTAGCCCGACCACTCCCTTGACTCCTCGCTTGCACATCGAATATTCTTACTCGCTCCCTCACCTGGATATCAGAGGCTTCTGCAACTTAACCTCACTCTCCTTCCAAACCTACACCTCTCCATCCTGTAAGTGGCAACTCCAGCCTTCCAACCACCCAGGTCAAACACCTTCAAACTACTTGAGTTTTCTCTCCATATCCAATCTCTCAGCAAGTCCCATCAGCCATACTTTCAAAAGTTGTGCAAAGTCTGACTACTTCTCCCTTCTCTGTCTCCACCACTCCAGTCCAAGACATCATCGCTCTTCCAGTCCCCTTCTGTTCACCCCTGCACCTAGAGTCTAGCAGCCAGAGGGATCCCACAAAAACATTAGTAAGGCCATGTCAATCCTTGCTTAGAACCTTCCAGTGGCTTCCCAAATCACTCAGAATACAATCCAAGATTGTAAAGTTTATTGGAGAAAGACCCAGTTTACACTGGTTACCCTGTCAATTATTAATAGTACCAGCTTTCAGGCTCAGAAGTGTTCCAATTTGAACACTCAATTGATATGGTCGCTCAACTAATAAGGCCTTACAGATTAAATCTCCAACCTCGTCTCCTAGCTCTTTATTACCATTTCATTCCAGCTACCTGGATCTCCTTGCTGTTTTTCCAATACGCTTGACCTCAGGTGATCCACCCGCCTTGGCCTCCCAAAGTGCGGGGATTACAGGTGTGAGCCACCTTGCCCAGCCCAGAATTTGTGTTCTTTTTTTTGAAGTGAAAGGTCTCACATATTTATTACTGAACCCAGGCAACCAAAACCTTGTTTTATTTAACATGAATAATGGAAGCACTGTGCGTTGTACTAATGCCTTCATAACAGATACAGAAAGGAAACTGTTCAAACTTCTCCAGATGGCGGTGACATTTTTCAGCTTGATTTGGTAACACGACTGTGACCTACAGACAGCATAAATATGTGTGCCATCACATGTGTAATTTCTTACAGACCAAGTTTGGTTCTTCTCCAATGTCTCCTTTTGGAGTTGTACCTGATTTTATTACCAGTTTTCATCCGAATCCACTGGGGAATGGGACGATTTTGCTTTTGTTTCTTGGCCAGGAATTGCTTAATCCTGAAAGTCTTGTGAGAAGACATGGCGAGAAACGGAGTCAGAATTTGTGTTCTTAACCACTATTTTGATTCAATTCCAAACTCTTCTTATATATGGATCCTTTTTTGTTTCCTAAAAATCCCAGGTATTCACCACAACCAGTGGACAGACATAAATAAGAAAAAAATCATCTCTTCTCCTTCTCTGCCTCCCCGCCACAATTAATGTTGACAGCACGACAACCTTCCATATCTTCCTCCTTGCTCTCAAACCAATAGCATTTATTCATCTTTTGTTTAAAAATGGGTTCACTTTGCATGTGTATTACTCTGACACTCGCTTTTCTCACAGCGTGGACATTTCCACAAATCAAAAAATAACTCATTTTTAAAAAATAGCTACAGGAATATTTCATGGTATGGCTACATCACAGTTTAGCAAACTACTTCCCTACTGACCGACATTCAACCATTTGCAAACAAGCTGCGATGGTTTCTATAGACCAAGTTCCAAAGTGAGATTGCTAGGTCAGAGGGTACAGTATATTTTTTAAATTTGAATTGATATTGACATTGTTTTTTCCAAAAAAGTTTGAAAACAATTCGGCCTGGCACTAACACTGTTTAAATGTGTCTGTTTCCTGGCAGCCTCGTCAGCACCACATACATTCTACACATCAGCACCATACCACAATCTATAACATTTTTGCCGATCTGATGGGATGGCCTATTTTTAAAATACAGATGAGCTTATACTATAACATTATCCTGCAGTTTGCTTTTCTTCCTCTCAATAATAATGTCATGAACATCTTTCAACCATATAAAAATTTTGCTCTTTGTGTCATATGATTCATCTGTGACCTGGCACATTTTTCTTTCCTGCCTGCGACAGCTGATCTGTGACTGAAATGGGAGTGACAATGTTGATCTACCTTAATTGGCAAGAGAAGAAGAAATTATTTAAAAACAAGTACAGAACCATTTCACACCCATTAGGACAGCTATCATTAAAAAATAAGACCACAGGCCAGGTGCGGTGGCTCACGCCTGTAATCCCAGCAGTTTGGAAGGCCGAGGGGGGCGGATCATGAGGTCAGGAGCTTGAGACCATCCTGGCCAACATGGTGAAACCCTGTCTCTACTAAAATACAAAAAAAATTAGCCGGGTGTGGTGGCGCGTGCCTGTAGTCCCAGCTACTCAGGAGACTGAGGCAGGGGAATCGCTTGAACACGGGTGGCAGAGGATGCCATGGGCCAAGATTGTGCCACTGCACTGCAGCCTGGGCTCTACACTACAGCAAGACTCTGTCTCAAACAAACAAAAAAAAGACAATAACAAGTGTTGGCAAGAACACAGAGAAACTGGAACCCTCATACACAGCTGGTGAGAATGTAAAATGGTGTAGCCGATTTGGAAAAATCTGACAGTCCCTCGAAACGTGGAGTTACTATTTGACCCAGCAATTCCATTCCCAGGAGAAATGAAAGCCTCGGAGCAGCATTATTCCTAATAGCCTAAAAGCAGAAACAATGCAAATGTCCATCAACTGTGAATAGATAAGCAAAATGTGGTCTATCCACACAACAGAATATTACTTAGCAATGAGAAGAAATGGGCTGGGCGCAGTGGCTCATGCTTGCAATCCCCATGTTTTGAGGAATTGAGGTCAGAGGATTGCTTGAGGCCAGGAGTTAGAGATCAGCCTGGGCAACATAGGGAGACTCTGTCTATACAAAAAAGTTTGAGGCTGCAGTGAGCTATTATCAGAGGCATTGGATAGGCTGCATTCCCAGTAAATTGAGGCATTCTTAATCAGAGAATGAGACAGGAGGTCTGCATAAGATAGAGGTCACAAAGACCTTGCTGATAAAACAGATTGCAGTAAAGAAGCCGGCTAAAACCCACCAAAATCAAGATGGCAATAAAAGGGACCTCTGGTCTTCCTCTCTTTTACACTCCCACCATGTTGTCATTTACAAATGCCATGAAAACAATGCACCTCCTTCCAAACACCACCTGAGAGGCATCCCTCCTGGCAACATGGCATTTGTAAATGACAGTTTACAAATGCCATGGCAACATCAGGAAGTAAACCCTGTATGGTCTAAAAAGGAGAGGCAGGAATAATTCACCCCTGTTTAGCATATAATCAAGAAATAACCATAAAAATGGGCAACTGGCAGCCCTCAGGGCTGCTCCACCTAAGGAGTAGATTCTTTTGCTCCTTTACTTTCTTTCTTTTTTTTTTTTTTTTT